CTCAGAGTACTTTAGGGAGTGGAGAGAAGACAGGTTCTTTTCTCAAGTAACTATTGAAAGAGCAAAATTTATCTTCTGAAGGATGTGGACTTCGGACAGGGGTCTGAAGGCCAAGTAGAGTATGAATAGAGGAGGAAGAAAGGGAACAGACACTACATGGAAGGGGAACAACACTTGTAAATTGTGGAGTTGAAAATGAGCCTTTAGTGTATGGGGAAAAGTGAAGAGTCCCCAAATACCCTAAATATTTAGGGATTTTTTTTTTACCAATTTCTCTCATTCTGCCACAGGAAATTATCTAATTTTTGTTTTTGAAAAGAATCGGAAATGCTTACCCTCAAATATGTTATTGACAAGTTATTTTCATAGCACAAATTTGGATCAGTAATTCTAGTGTGTGGGGGGAGGGAACCCATATATGATTTGTCAAAAGCAACTCACGCCAGGCATTCCAGGCCCCGTGGGACAGAATCCCATTGTAGCAAGCCAAGGTGGCTGTCCCTCCTCCCATAGGGACGCTCTATCCCAGTGAAGCCAGCCTTCCATCCTTTACATGTTTTATGTTCATTTTTGCCTCCAAACGTTTGCTCATGTTATTTCCCCACTGAAAATCTCCCCCACCATTCTCACTTCCCCTGAAAGCCCCTCAAAACCAAGCCAAAGTTTTACAACATCATTAGCAATACCAACATATTGAGAGTTACTCTGGAAGTCCTGAGGGCCCTCCAGATATAGAAAGAAAAGTTTTTGATATTAAGACACACACACACACACACACACACACACATACACACACAATCTACCTAATTTCTCAAACCATAAATATTTATGTTATGTATATAACACAACACTTATTTTGCTTTTAAAAATTACTGTCTAAAGCAAAATAAGGCAGCATCTTATTGTGTTACATTTTTGTGTTATTATTTTCTGATCATTAGTTGTTTCTATCCAAAATGAAAATTATATTCCTTACGTCTAGATAGCATGCCACATATCTCTTATCCTATCTCATAGAGTTGGATTAAACATAGGTGCTCAATGAATATTTTCATTGTTACACAAGCATACAATTATTTAGCTGAGGACCCTGAGGAAGTTTGTTATACAATTGCTAGTCTTCATGGATGGGCAAGTTTTGGGAAAAGCAAGTGTCCCAGCGCATAATAACTAGACAGGATTCCCCATTTACAATGTGCTTTCAAATCCAATATCCTATTGTTTCTACAACAAGCATGAGTGGTGAGTAAAAACGTTAATACCCATTTTACAGATGAAATGATTGTGGTCCAGAGAATTGAAATAATCTGCTCCATGTTAGAGGGTGGGTGTCACAGCTGGACTCAAACCCTCATTTTATGATTGTGAATCTAAAGTAGAGGACAGGGCTGGACAGCCAGTGGGCAGGGGGAATCTGTGGTGAGGAGAGAATTTATCAGAAGGAGGGTCAATCCATGGGGAATGAGTTCTGAAGATAAACTTGGACTTGGGGCAGGTCTTACAATGGGGTGGGATTGGTAACCAGATGTTTCTCCTGGAAGCTTCACTTCCTACAGCTCCTGGGAATAAGAATTTTGAATGGCCATTAATCACGTGACTGTCCTCCAGCTGTGTGCGTGGAAGTAGACGGGAGTTTCAGCTAACTTGGCACCAAGAGGGTTAAGAGTGGGTTAAGAAGTCGTATTTCAGCTGTAAATTGGCCATTAGCAAGTGGTTAAGCTGTGCCTTTTGTAGAAAGTGATTGGCATCTGCTAATCAGCCTGCCACTAATTATGAAGTATACATCTATCTCCAAGTTACACTTGTGGAGTGAGAGGTTCTACCCTACATCTCTTTCTACAGGGCTGAACAGTGGCATCTAGTGGTTTGTTTTGAAATAAGCAAGTTCAAAACAGGTTGGAACATCCACCTTAGTATTTCTCCTCAGGACCTGCTCAGCAGTAAGTTTTATCTAAGGAATAACACAGCATTCCAACTTTCAGTACTGGGGTTATTGTGTGATATATGCTTGCACAGGGCCAATCAAAGACTTTTTGTAAACTTTTGAAAATCAAAATGTAATAGAAACATTACAGAGGCTAGTGTTTTTTTGGGAGTTCCTCGTTGCTCAAAGTTTCATCCAGGAATGAGCAAATTTAGAAAGTGAATTAGAAGGGGTTACAGTGGGAAATAAGGAAGTTGCTTTCTGCTTTGGAAAACTTGAAATCCAAATTTTCCTGTGGATGAATTGTGAGTTACAACCAAAATTGAATTCTTTTCCAAATGGCTCCTCAAAAATCCAGCTCTTAAAATTATTTAGTGAAGTTTCTATGTTCCTTTGTACTTAATACCCTAATATCAACACTATTGATTCTCTTAAAATACACTAAACCTTATAGAGATTTTTTGAACAATTTGTGTAATTTTAAAAAGCACCTATAATCTGGAAATTTGTAAAATATTTTATATATTTAAAATATTGATGGAGTTATCTATCTATCTATCTATCTATCTATCTATCTATCTATCTATCTATTATCTACCTATCTATTGTAAACTTCATACAATATCTTCTCTTAGTTCAGACCTTCACAAAAATTGCTAAGAAGCAGTAAAATGGATAGGATTTGGCCTTCAACTTCATAGTCACTTCATCCAAGGGAGGAGAGAAGTAGCCCAAAGAGGGTAGCATGATGAAGAAATGAAATAATGTAGGCATGGATAATCACACACTGAATAATTAAATATTGACTTATTTAGATCATTGAAAAGAATGTTAAAATGTTCTCCAGTTATTAATTAGACAACCAAACATGACTTTGGGAACTTGTTTTTTATTTTACAAATGACATGGTTATGAGAAGGTTCAAGTTGCCTTATTCAGGTTTGTTGAGATCACTCCCAATTTGCTTTTCAGACTCTTGGTTGCCTGAGAACAGCATGGCGCTAAACCACACTGCCCTGCCCCAGGACGAGGGCCTGCCACACTACCTTCAAGATGGAGATCCCTTTGCTTCCAAACTTTCCTGGGAAGCGGATTTAGTGGCTGGATTTTACTTAACAATAATCGGTAAGCTTCCTTAATTTTTCTGTGCAAAAGCTGCATCTAGAAAATTCCTGGGCTGATATGTTGATTTTGCACAACGATTCCAACACTCATGTGGATATTTTGAATGGAGGTGAAAAGTGGGAGGAAGGCAGAAGATGGGATGGATTCTCTATTATCTTTATTCTTTGAGATAAAAATTCCCTTGATGATTCAAAGAATTTTACAGCAAAAAAAAAAAAATTGACCTTGAGACTACACTTCATTTTCATTATTTTGGTATACAGATTGTCTTCTGAATAAGAAAAGTAATGATAATGAGCTCTTATTTAAATACAGTGCTTTTGCTTGCTAAAAAATGCTTTGATATAATAAAAATATTATAGGCTTAGAATGGACCATGATAAAGTAATTTGGGTGAGAGTTGAAAAGATGGATTGATAATAAATGGGAGTCAGTCCAGGGCCAAAGGCTTTTGTGCATAATCACATTGGCTTCCAGACTGTGCCATCCAATGCAGTGGCCACGTGGCTCCTGAGCACCCACCTGAGCTGTGACTTTTCCAAACTGAGATGCACTATAGTGTAAATACACACCAGACACTGAAGACTTAGTACCAGAAAAAACATGTAAAATAGCTCATTCATCATTTTTACAAATGATGACATGTCCTACCCATACATTTTGGATATATTAGGTTAAGCAAATATTAAAATTAATTTAGTACTATTTTTACTTTGTTTAATGTGGCTACCAGAAAAATATTAACTACATGTGTGTGTGGCTCACATTTCTGGTTTACATTATATTTCTATTGGGCAGCACTAGTCTAGGCACTCAGAATTCAACCATAATGCTTTTCTGAAATTTAAAATTGTTTCAAATTTGAGCAACCAGTGTACAGGTGGGTTATGTCTTTAGGTGTGTCTGCCTTTCATCTTTTCAGATGTTGGGTCAAGCTTTCTCTTTCTCTCTTTCACTCCCTCCCACCCTCCCTCTCACTGTCTCTCTCTCTCTTTCTCTCCCTCTCTCTTGTCTATTTATCACTGGATAAGAATTTTATTTAAACTCCTGAAATTAGCAAAACTCACTAGAAAAGTCTGGAGACCCCTCTATGGTCACTGCCTGAGTCAAAAGAAATCAAGAAATTCTGCTGCAAAGGGATTCCCTGGGTCCTTGGCTTTATTAGAAGTAACTATGAAACTGATTTAAATTCTATATTTTATGAATGGGCCTCCACATCCTTTCACACACAAATAGATACTGAATGCCCATTCTTCACTACAGTTTAAGTGACTTGGAAAACAGCAGTGAACGAAGTGGACAAACTCTCCGCAAAGTGGACAAACTCTCTGCCCACATGAGGACTATCTATCTGGAAATAAAATCCACATGGCATTTTTATTAAGCATAAGTACTTTCAATGATCAGAAAAGACAGAAAAATAGACATCATATAACTTGAATTTGTCTCAATTAGTTGCAAGGAATGAATTAAAAAGTAGCATCTTTAACCTGACCAATTTCCCCGAGAACACAAACTTAGGGAGGGAGAGCTGTCCATTCCCCACCCTGGCAGGAGGGATCCAGGGAGAAGAGGCAGCTAGGGTGGCTGTGGGTGGAGGAATCCAGAGAATTTCTCACTTGATGCACCTGGGGTTGGAGCTAGGAAAAAGAAGTCCAAAAAGAGTCCCCAAAGGGATCATTAAGTGACTTAGGGAGCTGGGGGTGGAGCCAAGACATGTTCCAGAACATTCAGTTTAGTCAGAGGCACCTGGAGGGAGGTGGATTCATCCTAGACCCAGGTCTTGGGCTTGGTCCTGTGCCTGGTTTTCATACCCTCCTAACATAGGATTGCAGGATGTGCCCAGATTCCTTTTATGGAACCAGAGTAGAATGACATTCTTGGTGGGCTTTGTTAAGTACTGGAAGTCTTAGGGAAAACTGGGAGATGAAGAGATAAAACTGGAATGGAGGAGAAATAAACTACTATAGACCCATTCCCATCCTCTATTTTTTTTTTACTATGACTTAGTTTATTATCTGTTAATATATGAGAGTTTATATTTTTATATTCATAGAAAAAGTCAGGATTTTCATCTTATAAAAATGTTACCCCTTTAGCCTTTATTTTCTTAACCTGATTTCCCTTTAAGTATCCTTTAAAATCAGTTTTCATTCTCTTGATACCCCCATGCAGCTAAGATTGCCTGTGGAATAATCTAAATGCAACTCATAGTGAGTTGACTATATATGGATAATGCTTTGGGCACTGGGTGAAACCTTATGAATCAGAGTTAGTTAAGAAAGGAAAAGCAAGAAAATCAATATTCTCAAAAGAAATATAGAAAGACAAAGGGTATTTAAATGAGCTTTGTGTTTCAAATGCATATGCATACTTATTTCAATCTCCTTGGATACCAAGTAGATGGCATCTGTTTACAATTTTTTGAGTCATGTTTCCACATTTTAATTTCCCAGTGTGCCTTGCTAGCTGATTTCCTTTCATGAGCTGTAGGTTTCACTGTAGTGGGTTTGCTCTAGAATTCCATACTCTTTTCTATTTTTAACTCTTCTGCCCTAAGAAAGCTAAGGAGAGTTTAAGGGCCCATTAAGCAGCCCTGTTCCAGGGATCAGAACTTCCTAAGAGCACAGGGCAGCCAGTTCCTGGTGGTTTCATACCATCAGCTGAAACGTACACTTTTCTCCTTGCCTCCCAAATGAATTGTAGTGGAGAGGTAGAAATTAAAATAGAAAACTCTGGGTTTCTCCTGTTAATACTCTCCTTATTCCTTACTACTAAAGGCAGCTGTACCAGATTCTCATTTATACACAGCTACACTATGAAGCAAGAATTCCTGAAGAAATCTACTCTACATGTTAAGCTATGGAAGTAGGTGTATTCTTTTCTTAAATAAAGTCAGTAGGGATTGGGTCATTTTGGATTTAAACTGGGTTTGTAAGAACTTTGGAACAGTTTCATTGTAATGCCACAGTCAATTAGTCATTAATGAAAGGATATTAAAAAACAAGTGGGAACACGTTGATACCATTGTTGGTAGGTTGGTGGTTGAGGGTCACTTTCTCTCCCTTTGGTGGGAGGGGAGAGCCCATATTATCAATTGTCACCCACTTCCCCTCTATACCTATTCCAGTAGCAGCTGCAGACACCAACGTCCACGTGTCCTCAGGAGGCTGTGGTCCTGGGGTGTGTCCCTAGGAGATGACCTTTCCTGCCCGGGGACCATGCCAGCTTCATCTGGCCTCGGCCTCTCCTGAATCCCTCAGAGTCCGCAGAGATAGTGAAAGGAGCGAGTTCAGTTTGGGTCACTTTATCTTCAGGACTTACCAAGAGCCAAGGGGTTAACCCATCTTAGCAGAGGGAGGGAGTTCTAGAAAGTTAATACTCCATACAAATGCCTGAGGAAATATTTTGCCGGGGACCAGTATAAGCACTGACTGTTAGGATGCCCACATCCTCCTAGGCTCACTGGGAAGTTATGGCTCCTTTTTCTGGGTAAGTTCAGTTTTATAATCCCTGGTTCCTATCCTTTTGGAGGCAACCATCCCTCACCTGTCACTCATGCTTTTTGTTTCATCTTCTTAATCAAGATTTTTATGTAGAGTCCTCTCACCACCCTCTAACCCTATGGTGTCCGTTTTTGAAACTGAGAAGTGTTTCGTGTTTGAATGAACTCTAAATCCCAGTTTTAACAATGGGGATTTATATTTTTCCTTGTAGGGATTCTGTCCACAGTTGGAAATGGGTATGTCCTTTATATGTCCTCTAGACGAAAGAAGAAGCTGAGGCCGGCGGAAATAATGACTGTCAATTTGGCAGTCTGTGACCTGGGGATCTCAGGTAACACAATGACGCTGTTTCTTCTTTGGAGGGTGGAATTGTGTCCCATTCTAAAGTCCTCCCTGACTCCAAGGTCACCCCCATCCCATCTCCTTTGCTCCTCCCTTCACAAGTCATGTTTACATTTTGTGGTAAGTCAACAAAGTGTTGTCTGGCTAAAACAATCATTCCTTCAGCCTTTATTGAACCCTTTCCATGTGCCAGGCATGTTAGATGTTGAGGAGACTATCTGGAATTATACAGGATACCTCAGACACCCCCATATGTAGTAGGGCTTACTGATTGAGGAAACAGAAACTTACCAGCAGGCTGTAGATCACCGTTTTGAGCTCCATTACACCCTTTTATTCCCATATGGAAATCTGTTAAAATAAGCACCTTTTATATCCAGCAACTTTCATTTAATTGGTTGAGACTGTCACCTGGATATCAGGATATTTAAAACTAGGGTTTTCAGATGCGTTTACTGTGAGTCCAAAATAGAAAACTGAAGGGCTGCTGGTAACCCATCAAGAATTTGGAATAGAGTTTCTCTTTAGCTGTAATTCATTTTTACAAATATGAATGACTTTGGGAAAAATAACCTCCCTTTGCTTGCATCTGTAAAATTCCCGAGTTGCCTAGATACACTCAAATGTGCCTCTGGAGTCCACAGCCTGCTGCTGTTTAGCACATAGGGTCTTCAATCACTAGAGTTGGGGGTATGGAACAGCACAAATCCACTCCTCTTTCTGCTGAAATCCTTTTAAAAGTTTCCCATTCAAATGTGCCTCTGGAACCCACAGCCTGCTGCTATTTAGCACATAGGGTCTTCAATCACTAGAGTTGGGAGTATGGAGTTAGAACAGCACACATCTACTCCTCTTTCTGCTGAAATCCTTTTAAAAGTTTCCCATCTAAAGCATCCCCTTGACAAATATTTCCTGATATTTGTTTCTCTCTTCACATGGGGATCTTCCTGCCACTGCCAATCTCTGAAACAAGGCCCAATAATAAGCCTCCCCTACTGAGTACTTATCACACGGCGGTGAGGTGCTGCCCTCTTACTGAGAGTTGGATGGTGTAGGTTATTTGGAAAGGTTTTACTCAGCATGGACAGACTTAAATAGCATGAACTCTTACAGGAAATACACAGGCACATTAAGAGGAGCATGACATGTCAGGCCCCTCTCTGTGAAAATAGCCAAGATGAACCCCAGGGAATTTTCGAGGCTGCAAGATGACTGCCATTTTTGCTATTGCCACACGATGGCACTGTCACAACATACATGACAGCTCTCCTGGTCAGCTAGCCCTGCTGACCCATGATGGTTCTCTTCCTGGTACTGAAGATAAAGAACTTGAAGAGTGCATTCTGTAAACTGGGCACACATCTCCTCCAGAATGAAACCTGCTATTTCAGCCACCTATTTCATCATTAAATCATACCCCACTGATGCTTATGGCTGAATTAGACTAGGCTTGAGTAAAATGTCCTTAAACGGTTGTTTACATTGAAAATGCACTCAACTAAGCAATTCTGCTCTAGAATTGCACAAACCACCTCATCAGTCTGCATATGTTTTTAGAGTAATTCCCTGGGAAATATTTTCTTCCATGTGATAGCTTTCTCTGGTTCTGAGATCATTTTTTCAACTTCTGAGGGATATCTCTAATACACTTTCCCTTTCCAATAAACCTTAAAATATGTTTATGTCTGTATTATTTTTGTACTAGTCAACGATATTCCATTATAAGCACCTTAAGCAAGCACATCCTAGAGACCAGGTGTCTATACATCTGTACAACTAGCATTTGTTGTTTAAGTACCAATGGCTTGCAATCATGTATATGTATTAGAATCCCCTGGGGGAGTTAAAAAAAAAAGTATATTGAAGCCTGAACTCACTGCAGATCAATTAAATCAGACTATCTAGGGATTGGAGTCCTGGACATTAATATTCAAATAAATCAAAACAATGCAACCAAAACATAACAAAACAATTCCTTCAGCTATTCAGAACCAGATAGGTTCATTACTATTCCGCTAAGCAAAGAAGGGAGAGACATTCTACGTGACATTGCAAAGGTTCATCAAATGCTCGCTCCAGAAGGAATCTTAAAATAGCTTTTGTTAATGGGTGGAAGGCACAACTGACACCAATTACCCCATGCGAGTCACTTTCACTTGTCTTTTGTTGCCTTCAGCATCCACGACAGACACTTAGCTCAAGCTTTGAATTGGCTATTTCTTCTGCCTAGGACATTTTCCCTCAAGATATTTCCACTGATTTAGGCATCTGCCTCAATGTCATATCCTCAGAGAGGTCTTCCCTGGTCTCATTATGTAAACAACAATTTCTATCTATCCCCTTCCTCTGCTTTCTTTTTCTTCACAGCACAAATCACTACCATATCTTTCACTACAAATGATTTGTTTCTTTTGTCTCCTCTCTCTGTTAAAACATGAATTGGCGAATCTTGTTCTCTAGCACCTTGCTCTGTTTGTGATAGAAGAGGCACTGAATAATTACTTGTTGGATACAAGCAATTTTTACACTTGGTTTCCATACTGACAAGGGTTAGGAAGCTCTCAGAATCTGAGGGTGCACAGTCTAGCAAGATGAGTGTGTCTAGCTGTCTAGACAACTGGAGGAGATGTGTGTCCAGCTTACAGAATGCACTCAAAACTATGTGTTAACTGACGGAACTAACAGGAACTTCTACATACCTTTGTATACCAAGGAAGGGGCACTCCAGGGAGGGGTGGGGCAGACCAGCACCTGCAGGCAGTGAATATTGGTTGAATATTGGTTACTGGGTTCTCCTCATGCAGTAAGGTTCCAGAACCCTCTTGATAGATATGTCAGGTAAAGAGTTTGAAGAGCTTTGTGATCACATTCCCTTCAGGGAGGTGGAGATTGAGTATAAGGACTGAACAAAATGGGAATGAAAGTACAGATGCTCCTCCACATGCAACAGGATTACATCCCTATAAACCCATCCCACATTGAAAATATTGTAAGTCAAAAATGCATTTAATACACTAACCTAGTCCATCCAGCCTACCTTAAACATGCTCAGAACACTCACATTAGCCTACAGGCTGGCAAAATTATCTAACAAAGCCAATCTATAATAATAAAAGCATAATATGCTAATTAGACTGGATGGCTGAATAACCTTCTGGGCTGAGCCCCTTGCATGAATTTTGTGCACAGGGCCTCTAGTTTTACAATAAAAGTGTTAAATATCTCATGTACTTTATTTATTACACATATCACTTTCACACCATCGTAAAGTCAAAAAATCATTACATTGAACCATCATTGGTTGGGGACCACCTGTAAAAGAATATTTTCTAGAAAATGAATAGCAACAACAACGTAACTAATGGACAGCAAAAGGAATAAAGACTTTAAATCCCAGAAATCTGGGCCTGATTGGAAAGAAATTGAACCTAACATTTACTAAAACAGCTATCTCTTGTTTGATTAAGATGTAACTCAACAGTGAGTTGAGGTAGGTGGGTAAGTGTTAACTGGAGGGAACTTCCCTTCACAAACTGCTTGGCGCTCTAGTTGTAGGCAAACCGTTCACGATCATCTCTTGCTTCTGTCACCGCTGGGTGTTCGGTTGGATTGGCTGCCGCTGGTACGGATGGGCTGGATTTTTCTTTGGCTGTGGAAGTCTGATCACCATGACTGCTGTCAGCCTGGATCGATACCTGAAAATCTGCTATTTATCTTACGGTAAGTAGGAAGGTTTCTAACTCCCTGATAGTCAAAGCTAGATGGCTTGTCAGAACTGTCCGTATTTCATCCATAGGCAATAAACAAAGATAATTCATAAACTCAATAATACTCAAGCGTATGTGTATTTATAACCTATCTTATTCTAACATATGTTTAAAGGTTTGAACCGGTGTCAATGTGGCTTTCTTTTAATACTACATGTATAAGAATGTCTGGTGTTTGCTTTTAAAAGTATCCTTTCCTTGTGTAAAGTGTGTAAGCTTCTCCCATGTTTTGCCATGCAGACAAAGGACACAAAATGCTTTGGAAGGATGTTAGGTCCATGATGCTTAGCTGGTTCCCACACAGTAAGTGTAATTGTATGAGCTGTTTGTGATTCTCCTCAAGCACCCAGGCTCCCTGTGATGGCAGAGATGAGGAATTCAATGGTCTGCCTCTAAGTTAGACAGCTGGGCAGCTGGGTCTGCAGGGAAGGACACACAAAGAAACGTTACTCAATGTCCCTTTTGTGGTATTGGTACATAGGTAGAAAGAAGAGTTGACGCACCAAGAATAACCAAGTTTCCAGGGGCTAGAGTTTTTGTTTTGTTTTGTTTATTTCTTTTTGGTTTTTTTAGTGACTAGAATATTCCACATGTTAGAATAACTTTTTATTACCTTTACTTCTTGGGGTTCTGGGAACTTAGTGAACCCACAATAGATGCATTTGGGCTCGTAAGTTCAATATTGAGAACCAAGGGCAGCCAGGGAATAATATTGGCTCCCTCTGGATTCAGCTGCTCTGTCTCTCAATCTGCCAATCAGAGTGACTGTGACCATGGGGACAGAGTACAGTCTGGAGCCCGAGGTGGGAAAGGTTGAGTCGACTTGCCACTCTCAATGTAATGGGGTTTTCCTTTATATTTTAAAAGTTTACAGTCCCCAAATCCAGGAAATCATGCACAGGAAAGGGGAGGGTCATGATCCACCATCTTCACAATCCAGCACTCATTCTTTTATTTTTTTTAAACATTGCATCTCCTTTTGTAAACAGTTTAAAACTTCCAACAGAAATAGATTAAATTAAAATTCCCAATAAGATAAAATACACAATTATACATATTCTAAATGACTTCAGAGTCAAATTCTTTCTATAATCTTATATTTGGTCATATCAGTGATGGAAGAAGGCTTGATTTGGGGTGGTGAACACATAATGCAATATATAGATGATGTATTATAGAATTCTACAGCAGAAACCTATAGGATTTTAGTAACCAATGTCACCCCAATCAAGTCAATAAAAAAGAAAAATGTGAACATGTATACACTAGTACAGTGGTTCTCAACCTTCTGGCCCTTTAAATACAGTTCCTCATGTTGTGACCCAACCATAAAATTATTTTCGTTGCTACTTCGTAACTGTAATGTTGCTACTGTTATGAATCATAATGTAAGTATCTGATATGAAGGATGATCTTAGGCGACCCCTGTGAAAGGGTCGTTCGACCGCCAAAGGGATTGCGACCCACAGGTTGAGAACCGCTGCACTAGTATATTATATCTGATATAATATATAGTGTAATATGATATTTATATATATTATAGACAAGAAGGCAAAACGTTCAACTTCCTGGGAATATTGGAGGTATATGAAGCCTTAATGTCTCTGCTTTTTAAATATTTTCTTAAACATAGGCTTTGTGTCAATTAAAGAGGTGATTTCTCCATCCCTAGAATGATTGCTGGGCATAACTCCTATGGGAACTGTGTATATTTATTTCCTAGCTTCTTCTAAGGTGGAACTGCCATAGGATGGTCTCATCATTTGATTTGACACACTATTGAACCCTCCACACAATGTCTTAGACTGTTGGAATTAGAAGATGGCTTGGGGATATGTAGACCTTTCTCCCATATAATGTGATAAATTGTTTTAAGACATCCCTGACAGACAGCCACTTGGCCTCTTCTTGAATAATTCCAGTGACCAGTGACGGGGAGCTTACTACTGCACAAGGCAGCCCATTCTCTGATTGGTCTGCTATCATTGTTACAATGTTATTCCTTATATTAAGACAAAACTGCCTCCCAGTAATCTCCACCCATTGGTCCTAGTTCTGACTTCTGGAGCAACACAGAACCAACCTACTAATCTACTCCCTCCTGTACTTGACAGCCTTTCACCATACTCAAATGTAAGTATAAAACACCTCACCAAGTAACCCTAACCATAAATGCTTGTAAGTATGCCTATGCACATTCCGTAAATATATGGGATTTTCCATGCCCATGTTTTATCCATTATAATGGATAACCAAGAGTTGACATATATAGTTGTTATCCCTATCTGCTTGTGCTCAAAAATTTTTTAAATGCCATGTACTTGAAAAAATAGAGACAATAGAGTATATAAACAATCTGTTCTATTTCTTGTTAGCACTAAATGAGACAAATCCCAGGAGTGAAAAATGTACGTTACTGTAGTTCTTTATAGCTTGCAAGAGAGGCTTTGCATTATTTCACTTAATCTTATAAAAACCTATAAGCAATATAGTCTTACTTCTTCCGTTTAACTCATAAGAACACTAACATTGACAGGTCCCATGAAGGTCAAATACTAGAATTGAGAAGTAGGCCCTGCTGCCTTCCCACACCTCACAGGGCGCTAAGTAGGGGGTAGACCTTGAGTCTATGCCCAAGAAGTCATTCTTTTTTTATTAATATATTTTGATTTTTCTTTTATGCTACTGTAAGACCAAGGCAGGAAGGGGTCACTTCTCAGGCCCTGTGGTTTGAGGTGATAGGCAGGGGGTGGAAATAATTTCCCATGGGCTGCAGCCAACCTGCCTGTGGTGGTTGTGTTGAACTTTGGGAAATGCTCACCAGTGCCTTACAGCTATTCCAGATGATTGCACTGTTTTTTTTTCCTCCTGGAATTCTCTTTTAGTTAATAGACACTAGTGCTGACAAATGGAGCTCATTATGTTTTTTTCTTTTGTTTCATTTTCCTGAAAATATTTTCACAGAATATTTTGTAGAATGTGATACCATCTACCTAGATTCCCTCCCTCTTCCCCTAAGGCTGTGTGAGTGTGGCTCTTGTGTTCATAAGGTTGAAAGATTCAAAATCTGCCCTCACCAAGCAGAGTCAACCATTTCAATGTCACCTCAAACAGCCATGATAAATGGCCCACCAATCCCCACTCGACAAGTGTTTAGGAAGACAAGTGAAATGAGAGACACAAAAGCTTTTAGGGAGAAGGGTACACATGTAGAAAATATAAGCAATGTCTTGTCATTTGATTCTACCTTGGATGACCCACTAATACATGCCTTTTTTAGTTCACCAGTTGGCCTCTTGCATTGAATAGGATCTCAAAGTTCATTCTGGATGCTTCCCCAAGATCCTCCACTGTCTTCAGCATCCTCTCATCTTTGTTTCTGTCCTCTTTCCCCAGCTTTTGTCATGTCCCTCTCCAAAGGCTCCCAGATGTCTAGAGCAAACTATCCCTGTGAAATCACTTCCAATTTTGTTCTCTTAGAAAAAGGTCCAGCTCTGGAACTTTCCTACCTTCCCTCCGCTCTCCCTCAGGCTTCAGTTATCTGACCACTTCTCCCAGAAGCTAATGGAATAACTCTTTGGATGTGGAATTTGACATATCGAGGGGAGGTATTTGGGTGGAGGGCAGATTATATCTTGGTAATGGTTTTCTTCCACCTCCAGGGGTTTGGCTGAAAAGGAAGCACACCTACATCTGCCTGGCATTCATCTGGGCCTATGCTTCCTTCTGGACCACCATGCCCTTGGTAGGTCTGGGGGACTACGTACCAGAGCCCTTCGGAACCTCCTGCACCCTGGACTGGTGGCTGGCCCAGGCCACAGTAGGGGGTCAGATTTTCATCCTGAACATCCTCTTCTTCTGCCTCTTACTCCCAACGGCTGTGATTGTGTTCTCCTACGTGAAGATCATTGCCAAGGTTAAGTCCTCCTCCAAAAAAGTAGCTCATTTTGACAGTCGGATCCATGGCAGCCACATGCTGGAAATGAAACTGACCAAGGTAACTGTGGTAATCCTTTACAGAGGTGTTTTCTAATCACTTAAAACTTCAAAGGGCAAAGAGGATAGGGAATGTTGGAGACTGGGAGATCTTAGAATCTCTACTGTTTATGTCCTTCTGAACTTTGTTATTATTTATCTAAACCTTGTGGTATATCTTTTCTCTGTCTCTGTCTCTCTCTCATTTATACATACACATACATGCACACATATACACAATAATTCTAATATTTACCAAAATTATACAGTTGATCTATGGAGACTTATTCTCTCTGTTGTATAGAATATTAATGGTTCTTATACATTATTTTAGCATAAGAATCATAACTTTTATGAATTATAAAATGCCTCACAGAATTTACTGTTTTGTATGGACTTTGATTGGCGACATGATTAGAGACATTCTACCCTCACACTTTATTTATAGAGTAAGAACTTAATACATCTGCTTTCCTATGGAAAGTTAACACAGGAGCAATTTCTGCAGGTTTGAGTCCCCTGGTAAATGCTAGTTTTCAGAGTTGGCAGCAAATTAAATATTGTGACATAAGGAAAAGGGCAGATAATTTGCAAACAAACTAGGGTTTTAATTTTATCACCAACACTTGCCAGGTTTGTGACCCAAAGCTAGACACCTTTAAATCTCTATTTCTTCACGAGTATAATCTATCACATTGGGTTATGGTGGAGACGTAATGAGGTAAAACATGTTATCCTGTCATCTGGTGCATAGAAGATGTTAAATAAACCATAACTTCTTCTTTCTCTTTACACTTTCATCACGTCTCATCCTCATGTGGAAAATACTTTTCAGCTTATACTATCACAATAAATGACATACAGATAATATCAAACTGTGTAATTAATATTTGTACACTGGAATTTCCATCTTATATTTTAAAGATAAAAGTAAATGTAGATGGAAATTCTAGTACTTCCTTCTGGTATCCCAATCAACCATGTTGTTGGATAGCTCACCTGCAGGTGTCATCACCGCCTACTTTAAGGACCAAGGTCTCAGGGACCTTACTAGTTCCCTTACTAGTTCCTTCTTGACTGGAGATGGCTTCCTAATAAGTCAGGGCCTTCATCTTAGTCATTCTTCTCTCCAAATTGCTGACTTTCAGTTGTTCTAGGATCTCTTGTTTGCACAGTTGAGCTAAAGATTCTTTTTTTTTAAATTAAAATATAGTTGACATCCAATATTAGATGTATAACCTAGTGATTCAACATTTACTAATATATTCCTTATGAGATCACCAAAATAGTCTTGTAACTGTCACCATACAAAGTTACTATAATAATATTGACTGTTTCTCCTATACTATACTAGTATATTACATTCCCATTACTCATTATTATTATGTTTTTTATAACTGGAGGTTTGTACCTTTTCTTCTCCTTTCCCTTTTTTACCCATTCCCACTTTACTCCCCTCTGGCTACCATCAGTTTGTTCCAGTTGACTTTTGCTCCCTAAACTCCACTTGCTAGGCAGGAGGAAGTTTGACAGAACTTTTCATCATTCGAAGTCTATACCAATAACCTAAATATAGAGCAGCTCTTCATAGACAAAAATGCAGAATTGGGAATCATGATCTCCTTCTATCTTATAGCTGGCTAAAAGTAGGAAAAATTTTTTCATAAAATGTTGGATCATGAATTAATTTATTCATGTTCAGCTCTTTCTTGAGCTCCTATCTTTTAAAAAATAAATAACTCCAAGTTACATATGGGTTACATTTAATCCAAATTCTATTCTATAACAAGCACTGTTCTAGGAACTGGGTGAATGCAACAGTGATAGTGTTCCTTTCTGGTCACTGATGGAAGTTGGCCCAGGGAAACAACACAATGTCTATCACACTGCTGTGGATTTCAGTTAATTTGACATACCATGAGGGTGCTGAGATGTCATATGACTTTCTCTCTTCCATCCCCCAGTGTCATTGGCTTTGAGACATTTTGATAGTCTTGCCTAGTGAATCTGGGTCCTCATATGCACGAGGCCCTTCTCTAGTTTCTTCAAGTCTGTTCCTCATCATTCTCTCTCCTGTTTGTTTAATTGCTTGACTTGACCCACTCACAACTATGCATATGCCGGAATCTTGTTGTTTTCTTGTGTATTCTTAGAGGGTTGGTAACTTCTGAAGCTCATTATCCATATGAAGCGAAGCTCAGCACACACCATTTAATTTGATTTATGATCATTCTCCTTGTCCTGGACTGTATAGATTAAACAGGCTCACCCAGACCAGATTAACCAAACAGATGTTAAATGAAAAGTGTAGGTATATATGTGCATGATTTTATTTTATGTATATTTTCTAAAATATATACTGAATGATATTGTATTATATATTACTAGAGGCCTGGTGCATGAAATTCGTGCAGGGGGTGGTTCCCTCACAACCTGCGCCCTCTCCAATCCGGGAGTCTTCAGATGATGTCCTGCTGATGGATTAGGCCCTCTCCCCATGATTCTCTGCTTTCTGCAGGGCCTGCCTGCTCAACGCCACGGTGACATGCAAGCAGGCCCTGCTGTCTGCTGTCTGCGGGACCTGCTTGCTGGCTCGCCCAGTTGCCACAGTGACCCTCAAGCAGGCCCTGCTGTCTGCTGTCTGCGGGGCCCACTTGCTGGCTCGCCCAGTTGCCACAGTGACCTGCAAGCAGGCCCTGCTGTCTGCTGTCTGCGGGGCCCGCTTGCTGGCTCACCGCCGGAGGGACTAAAAGGACTGGAGGACTCCTAGGGTGGGTCCAGCTGTGCTGACTGCCTGCCGCTCCCCCTGCGGGGCTGAAGGGACTGGGCGCCACCATCTTGTGGCTATGGGCGCCGCCATCTTTGTGATGGAGTGATGGTCAAATTGCATATTCCCTTTTTATTAGATAGGATTTCTATATTTCATTTACATATATAAAATCTATATTTAAATAACCAAATATATAATGTTTCTAATTATTCATATTTGAGCAAAAACCTTAAGTCAAACTTGAACCCACGGTGAAAAATAAACACAACTTTCTATTGTGGCATATTCTGTACTAAGTTAAAACTATTTTAAATAACTATTTAATTTTGACCTTGATTTTCTATACTGAGTGAAAATAAATAGGAAAAAAAAGCCTCCTGCTGGGTCTTTTTCCTTCATTTAGCTACCTCTCAGGACTGGCAATTTGCCTGTTTGCTTAGAGCTTCTGATCTTCAGAACAGCCTGGTCTAAAAGCTTATTACTTAAAGGCCACCTCCAAGGATTCTGGGATCAAAATCATTTACTTTTTTGTGTACTCTAATTATTTCTAGATGGGTTATTGCCTGGGCCTGCGTTTTGCCAGTCTGGCTTTGTCAACTTAAAAAATTGATGTTTTATTTATAACCCTTTCTCCACATTGTAGCTTCCCTCTAATTTATTTTAAAAGGTGGTTTTGCTAGGCTTTTGTAGTAGGCTGAAATTTCACAGACTACAGAAATTGCAGAGGTGTGCAAAGTAAAATAAAATAATGATAATCCTAAAGAAACCAAAAGGAAAAAAAAATATTCTCTTTATATCGATGTCTATGACTCAGCCTAACCTCATTTTTAGGTCTTCATTTGACCTTGTAAAACAATGTTAAACAATCAGGATAAATTCAGTTGAATCAAGAGTTTTTGTCCTCTTCTCACATCTTTATAATTCCACAGTGCCAATGGGCAGGGCTCCTGGTCTGCTGGTTGTTTATTGATCCTGGTATTACTGAGATATTTAATGCTCCCTCTGGTCTCAGTCATCACTTGTCATGGGTCACTTTGCATCTTTCTTGTCCAAACTATAAAGCCTCTTTAGATTCATTAACAATTCCAGCTACTTCCCCATCTTTTGACTGCAAATGTTGGGAGCTTGGTTAAAACCCTGAAAAGTGAGGCATACATTTTCTGCTCTTCTATCCCCAAAGCATTGAGGCTATATTGCTTCCAGAACCCCATCCCTGCCCCTTTGCTCTCCCGCTCCCCACCCCATGCTAGCTCAGTGGAGTAGCTTCAGAACAGTTTCTCTAGGTCAGCTACCAGCTCCTCTGCTGCCCTCCCTTGCCTTTTGGCTGTAAGCTCTTCACCCATGCTGCAGTGGGAACACTGGCTCCGACAGCACAGGCATCCCTTAAATTGTTCACATAATAAGCCTAATGCCCTGAGTCCTTCAAGTCTCTGGCTGCGGATACTCAAAGTCATTTTAATCCCACTCAAAACCCTCTTCTCTAATGTATGTTCTCTCTCGTAAATTTCCAGTTTCTTTTATGAAACTCAGACGCTGAGAAATGAATGTTTTACTTCTTTGGGTATGTTGGCTTCTAAAAACCTTCACACAAGGCAATGAAGGCCGTTGCTGCTACTTTATAGAGGGAGGTGGTGGAGTCACAGGAAGGAAATACCAGAAGCATAGATTAATTTTTCCAGGTATTATTAGGCAAATTCTATTAGTACTTCATATTTATTCATTTAACAGATGTAGATCAGCTATAATGCCCCAGATCTTTAGTTAGTATCTAGATCCTGTGGGTACCCAGCTTTCTCTTCATTTTCCTATTTCCTCTAAAGTCTCTGCCTAGTTTAAGACCCTCTGTAGGCCATCAGAGCACTTGGCACGTTTACTTTACCGAATCTCATGTTTGTTGCTCTTTTTTGAAAGACAGTAGGTAGGTGAGGGCAAGCACTGTTTGCTGCTGCCCCCCATCGCCTGGTGCCTGCTAGATGCTTAATCAAGATTGCTGTAATGAATACATAATTGAATAAATGAAGTTAGCCTAATTCCGTTTGATGAGTGTTAAGTGGTTCCTTGACCCCTGGCTTCAGCCCCTCTTTCCCTTTTATTCCTGAGGAGGTGTTTTGTTTTGCTTTGTCCTTTCACCATGATTGTGAATTCTTTTTAAAATTCATGAACATAAATGTCTGCTTCCCTCAAAGGATTCCTCTCCTTTGTTGCTCATCAAGTGTCATTTATCATTGATGATTTGCATTCAGGGAACCCCATGTGAATTCTAAGGGTAGTCTGTAATAAGGCTGACTGCATTGTTTTCTTTTTTCACTTAATGAATTGACTTATTTTCTCTGTTTCTTCTTAGCTTAAATATCACTTCCCAGAGAAACATTCCTTGACTGAATTAGTCTTCTTATTATAATACTAGAGGCCCAGTGCACAAAAATTTGTGCACTCGGGCGGGAGGGGGGTCCCCCAGCCTGGCCTGTGCCCTCTCGCAGTCTGGAACCCCTCGGGAGATAACGACCTGCTGGCTTAGGCCTGCTCCCGGGTGGCAGAGGGCACGCCAAATCCCTAGGTGCAGCCCCTGGTCAGGCTCAGAGCAGGGCCGATTGGGGAGTTGGGGCGCCGCCCCCTGTCATGCACAGAGCAGGGCGGATCGGGAGGTTGCGATGCCACCCTCAGTCACGCTCAGGGTAGGGCCGATTGGGGGGTTGGGGCACCGCCCCCTGTCACACTCAAGGCAGGGTCGATGGGGAGGTTGCAGCGCCACTGATCTCGCCCCCAACTTCCCTCTCCTGCCGGCCTGATCTCACCCCTAACTGTTCTCCCCTGCTGGCCTGATTGCCCCTAACTGCCTCTGCCTGTCTGATCGCCCCTAACTGCCCTCCTGTGCTGGCCAATTTTATTCTGATTGGTCAGTTTCTATGCCAGTCAGCGTCAAAAGCTCTGCCTCCTAGGCAGCCATTGGCTCCTCACAGTTGACCCAGATTTGGTTCTGATTGGTCAGTTTCTATCCCAGTCAGCATCTAAAGCTCCGCCTCCTAGGCAGCCATTGGCTCCTTACATTCACCCAGATTTGGTTCTGATTGGTCGGTTTCTATGTCAGTCAGCGTCTCTGGGCCTATCAATGGTGCCTGATCAGAAAGGTGGGGCTGATCAGCAGCCCTGATGGAGGCCCGGAGAGAAATGGAGGTGGGGCTGTTGGCCAGGCTGGGAGAGAAAGAGAGGCAAGTTCTGATCAACAGCTGCCACAAAGGCTATGGTTAGACCCTGCCTCTCTCTCTGCAGGCCTCTCCAGGCCTGACCTGCAGCCCGCTAGGCAGTCAGTGCTGGGTCAGGGGCCTAGAGTGGCCCAGTCAGTGTTGGGTCACCAGGGCAACCCAGCACTGACTTTTGGTCTGGTCCAGCCTTCAGTGGTAACAACCCTGGTCTTTATTATATAGATTTTCATGCTGCCTTTATATTTTCTTCTTAGAACATATCACAATATATAATTAATTTACAATTACATATTTATTTTTGTGATTATTTGCTCAATGTCTGGTTTTACCACTGGTAATAAGGCCCAAGAGGTTAACAACCATATCATTTTGTTTACTTTATGGCTAGTTTTGTCACTAGCCCACCAAGAAGTCTCATATAGGTGACATTTGTTATTTATTTTGGCTGCCAGTGGCTGAGCCCCTTTCTGTGACTGGAATTTTTGTGTTGAGGAATTTCCAACATTTTGTGTCTTGCTGAGGAATGTGGGAAAGCAGGACTGGCAAAGATCACCTCTTAATTTAAAAGATACAGAAAAAACAGTTATTAATTTTCCAGGATTTCCTTGCAGCTAGAGTACAGCTACATCAGCCTGTCTCAGAAATTAGTGACACCAGATAAAGAGGCAGGGAAGTCTCTTCCCAGGCCATGGCTACAGCAGCAGTAGTTTCTGCAGCAGAACTAGTTCAGGGCATAGTTTTGGGTATCATTTCTGCCTGCTTGGCCTCAATTCTAAGTCCAGCATTCTCAGTGAGGCGGTGTCTTCACCAACACATTCCTTTTCTGTTTCACTCAGCCAAGATCTATTTCTATCGCTTGAACTCAGAATCTTGACGGATTCACCTTGAGTCAAGAACTTTCCCTCTTAGGACTTTAGTTTTCTCATCTGTGAAAAAAAGCTGTGGGAGGGAATTAAGTGATAACTAAGTTACCTTCTAAAACTCTGAGGTTTGCTCTGCCGGCATGACTCAGTGGTTGAGTATTGACCTATGAACCAGGATGGTTCAATTCCCAGTCAGGGCACATGCCTGGGTTTCAGGCTCCATCCCCAGTGCGGGGTATGCATGAGGTAGCTGATCAATGATTCTCTCTCATCATTGATGTTTCTCTCTTCCTTTCTGAAATCAATAAAAATATATTTTTTAAAAAATACAAATCTGAGATTCTGTAAAAATGGCTGATTGGTTGGATTATTTAAAGGTCTGTGGTGCCCTAGCCAGTTTGGCTCAATGGATAGAGTACCATGATGCCTGTGGATCAAAGGGTTCCAGGTATTACGGCCAAAGGTGATCCTGAGTGTGGGGGGGGGGTGCCAAAGTGGGCGCTACCGCCCCCCGGTGGGCGCTGCAGCGATCCAGGGGAAAAAATTAATTTCCAGGGGCTGAGTAATATTTTTTCTGGAAAGGGGGCGGTAGGCCAAATAAGTTTGGGAACCACTGCCTAGCACACAGGCACATGGGGCTATGTGTTCAGACCATAGGTTCAAGCTTACCACCATAGCTGTTGGCTATAATTGTGCTGGGAGAGCCCTGCCCTCCAGCTGGGACTTGCACGTGGCAATGAGAGGACCCTGTCCTTTCATTAGTCCGAGGCTTGAACCTGGCCAAAACACTGTAGCCACGCCCTACACCCAGGTTTGATTCAGGTCAAGGGCATGTACCTTGGTTGCAGGATCCTCCCTGGGTCCTCATTGGGATGCATGCAGGAGGCAACCAATCAATGTGTTTCTCTCACATT